AGGACTCCTGGGTTCTCTCCCCGGCTCTGGGAGGGGAGTGGGGGCTGGTGGGTTAGAGCGGGGGGGGGCTGGGGAGCCAGGGACTCCTGGGTTCTCTTCCTGGCTCTGGGAGGTGAGTGAGGGCCGAGGGAGGGGGGGGGTCAGAGCAGGGGTCAAAGATCATCAGGCCATATTGACCCCTCTGAGGGTGGAAGGTCGTGGGTTAGAGTTGAAAGGTCACCTGTGACTCCTCCCCCCCGGCAGGTTGACAGTCCGAACCGCAGCGGCCAGACCCTCTACGAGCAGGTGACGTTCCCGGATCGGCGCTGGGCCAGCGAGGTGTAAGTGGGGCACAGCCCGCGGGGCAACGGCGACCCTTCACCTCTGACCTGTCACCTCCGACCCCTGCCCGTACCCAGCGATGACCCTTCACCTTTGACCCCTGCCCTTTCAGTGTTGCCCCTCCCCAGTGGTGACCCTTCACCTTTGACCTTAAATACTCTCTACCTTTGCTGACCCCTCACCTTTGACTCTGGTCCCACCCCCTTTTCACGCTGACCCCGCCCACGTGCCGGAGCCGCCCCGGAGCCTCTGCCCCCCGTAACGGCGCAGGACTCACCCCGCTGCTCGCTCTGGGGATTGGCTCAGTCGGGCTCCGGGGCGCCCCCTGGGGGTCGTGTCTTGCGCGTTGGCCAGGGACCAGGCAACAAGGGTGCAAAATGGGGCCGGGGGTGGAAGACAAAGCCCCACCTGCGCCTGCCCCACGCTGCTCCCTGGGTGCCGTCCGCCTCCCCTGCTGGGCCGCTCCCTCTAGCCGGGCTGCCCCCGTCCGTCTGGCCCCTAAACTGAGCTCTGGGGAAGGTTTTGGGGAGGCAGGCCTGGGTGGGACAATGGGGGATCGCCCAATCTCAGCACCCCGCCTTCTCCCTGACTCTGATCCTGCCTCCTGCCCGCCCCAGGATCCGGCCCCTCTCCATGGACAGCAGCGCCTACCCCTTCACTGCCTTCGCGGGGGTCCCGGCCGTGGAGTTCTCCTTCGTCGAGGTGAGAGACCCTGGCAGGGTGCCCCCCAGCCGGGTCAGCGCCCCTCACTCCGACCCACAGCCCCTGCTAGCCCGGCCCTGCCCCCCCAGCTCTGCCGGTGCCCCTCACTCCCGACCCGCAGCCCCTGCCACCCCTAGGATCCCCCGCAGCTCTGGGGTGCCCCTCACTCCCGACCTGCAGCCCCTGCTACCCCTGGGTTCCCCCCAGCTCTGCCGGTGCCCCTCACTCCTGACCTGCAGCCCCTGCTAGCCCAGCCCTGCGCCCC